AAAAATAAAAATTGGAAAGAATTTGGATTAAAAGAATTTAAAAATATTCATGAATCAATATTTGAAGAATTTTATTATCAACTTTTTCAATTTCTTGTTCTTATTGCTTCTATTATTCAAACATTTATTAAAAGAAAATTAACTTGTGGACAACAATGTGCTATTATTAAAGAATTTGAATTAATTATTACAATTTCTAAAATTCTTCAAAAAATTTTAGAATCATTTAAAATAGAAAATACATCTAATAATATTATAACAGAATTAATTTTTTCAATTAATAATTATCTTAATAATTGGAATGAACCTAATAAAGTTATAAATAATATTATTAATACAATTAATTATTTTCAAATTTATGATAAACAAAAAATATTTCAAACAGCTCAAGAATGGTATAAAAATAAAGAATCTATTCTTCAAGAATTTGCTCCTATTGAAAGTTTTTTAAAAATTACTGAAGATCAAATTAATAGAGCAATAATTGAAGAACAATTATCTTCTTCTAATAGACAAAATTTTATGCTTGCTATTGATAGATTTTTAGGAAATTCAGGAGATGAACAACTTATGGAATTATTTGATAAACAAAGAGAATTATTAACTCATTTTGGTAAATTAACAAGAAAAAGTGCACCTTATTTTATTCAATGGATTGTAAATATTTTACAAACATATGGAACATTAAAACGTTTAGCTTTAACACAATTTAAATTATTAAATATTATGTATAAAAGAATTATTTATATTCAAGCATTAGGTCAAAGTAAATTATCTGATTATAAAGAAATAGAAAATTGTATTTATGATTATTTAAGAATAATGAGATATATGACATTATCAACAAGAAGTTCATCTTTAACACAAGATTCTGTTTCAAATACATCTTTTTTTATGAATGAATATTTTAAAGATGTTATAAAAATTGAATCAACAAATTTAAGTGGTAGATTAAGATGGATGATAGAATTATTTGCTTATTGGAATCAACTTCAATTTTCTCCATCTCCATGTTATGCAACTTATTCTCTTCATAATTATTTAGTATATCAAAAACAATTAAAAATAATTGATAAAGGAAATATTATTTTTTTATTAATGGCATATGCATCAGTAATGGATATTACAGAACAAGAACATTTTGATTTAATTAAATTATCTTCAGAAACAAATAAATTAAATGAAAAAATTGATGAAACAATAAGAGATATAGAATATACAACATATGATTGGATTGATTTTTATCATAGTATTATAAATTTTGAAAAAGGAAATGGATTAATTAATACTAAAATTAATAAACTTTTAGGAGAATGTATTGTTAGAGGTTATTATGAACAAGGAAATACTTTTATGGATGTTATAAATATAATACAAAAATTATATTATTTAAGTGAAAGAAATTTAAAATTATTTAATCAAATAAGTGAAGAAATTAATACAAAATATATTATTCAAATGGTATTAAATATTGCAGATGAAAGAGTTTTAATTTGTAGAAAAGGTGTTTTATTAATTCAACAAGAAGATGATAATTTTGATGATTTTTGTAATTCATGTAGTTCATATATTGGATTTAATGATTCTCCATCAAATTTTATAACAAGAGATATTATTAAATCATTTACTCAATCTATTCAAAATCATGATATTCATTCTATGATAGATTATACACATATTTTACTTCAATGTGTTATTGGTCCAATTTATCATTTAATGATTTCATATTATCAATTAAGAGCTGTTTTAGGTAAAATTTTATTACTTTCATTTAGAGATCAACATACAAAAACATTTTGGTTAGTTTTACAAAGAAGTGAAAGATATTTTGAAAGATTTATTGGTTGGATTCAATTAATAGGTGTTCTTCAAAATATTAATTATGATACAACATTTAATCAACCAATTCAACTTATTCGTTCACAAATTTCTAAAAGAAAATTAAGAGCTGATGATTTTAAACCTTTAAATAATAAATTTGTTGAAGTTCTTCATCCAATATTTTTAAAAATTGTATTTGCATTAGATGATTTATTAAATTATCAAACTAAAAATGAATTAATTCATGGAATGAAACAATTTCTTCCACTTATTTCAGAATCAAATCAATTTGTTAATTATTTATCAAAAAATAATCTTGGAAATATTTCTAATCCATTAATACCTTTTCATTCTTGTTTTGCATTAATACAATCATCTCCTGAAATTCTTGATAAAAATACATTATTTGGTGTTAAAAAATATTTAAAAAATCTTTCAGAATCTCTTTCTACAATTTTTAGATTATTTGATGTTCAAACTACACTTATTAATTATTTAGTAGATAAAACAATTAAATCATTAAATGAAGAAAATATAATTAAAAGTAAAAAATATTTTAATAATCTTCATCGTTATTTTAGATTATTTCCAAGAATGTATTTATTAGTTAATTCTTTCTATTCTATTTTTGATGATATTGTTTCAACTCATATTCATTTATCTGATTTATATGATTTATTATGTGAAATACCAATTGGAGATATAAATTCTTTAACTCCAAGTAAATATATTGGAAAAAATAGAGAAAGATCTTTTTCTGATCCATTACAACCATCAATTAATAAAAAAATAATTAAATCTATTACATCAAATGATCCTGAATTATCTCCTTTCTCATTTCAAAAAACAATTCAATTATTAATTAGATTTAAAAATTCATTTAATGCACTTTGTCAATCTCATTTAAGATTTGGAGGATATTTTGTTCAACTTATTCTTAATGTTATTACATTAATTAAAACAATTCCTAATACACAAATTCAAATTGATGAACTTTTAGAATTATTAGGAAATGCTTATTCTTTATGTTTACCAATAGTTTGGATTACACAATCAGCAAAATTATGTCTTGTTAAATATTATGGATTTAGTGGTGTACAATTAAAAGGAATACCAAATCAAGTTAGAGATTTTATTTATAATTTATTAAAAGATATTATTGATCCAGTTAATAAAGAAAAAATTAAAACTCTTAAAAATACTTCACTTATTGTATTAAGACAATTATTATTAGGACTTTCATTTAATATTAATATTGTTGGATATTTATATCATAAAATTATTAGTATTAAAAATTCTGTATCTGGAGATGCTCATATTTCTCTTCATCCAACTGCAGTAAGTTTAATTTTAGAAACAGTAGGAAATGAAATTAGTAGAGCAGTTTATGATATTCTTTCAGAAAATCAAAAAAGAAAAACAGAATTACCAGTAAGATATGTTAGAGAATTACAAAAAGTATTATTATCAATAGGTATTAATCAAATTCATAGAAGAATTACTGATGTTTCATCTTCTTTAATGATTGATGCTGTTCCATTAAAAGCAATACAAAATAATGTATCTATTTTAATATCAATTTTAATTCAAACTTCTCCAACTGAAGAAATGTTAAATATTATTCAAAAATATTATAGATATGCTTTTAAAGATATAAAAGGAAATCAATTAGTTAATGAAAAAAGAGGTGAAAAAGTAAGAAATTTAGTTCAATTAATTTATTCACAAGTTTCTCAAAATCCAATTGTTATGAATGATATTGGAAATGAAATGATTGGTATTTTATCTTTAACTATTTGTATATGTTTTTCATGGAGAGGATATAATGATATTATTGAAAGTAATATGGCAATTCAATTATCTTTAGCTAAAATCCAATTCTTATTAGAAGTTTTAAGTGATGTTGATTTTATTAAAAATAGTAAAAAAGAAGTTATTGATGTATTAAAACAAATTAATGATACAATGAATTCTTTAAATAAACATCCATTTATTAATAAAGATTTAATTATTATAACTAAAGAACTTATTCTTGTTATTTGTCCATTATTATCAAGTATTACAAAAAATCATATTGAATTAAGTAATAATGCTGATGATTTACTTTCTATTCTTCAAGAAATTGCTTCAAATTCTGATTTAAATTATTCTTTTATTTTATCATCACTTTTTACAACTAAACTTGTACTTCATTCAGCTTTATTTTTATCTGAATTTTTATCTGAACAAAATACTATTATTAAATTAGTAGAAGAACGTTTATCTGAATCTTTAATATTATCAATTGCATTAATTAATTTCTTACAAACTTTTCCTATAATTGATAATCATACAAGAAGATCTCAAAGAGTTATGAATATAATTAATAAAATAATAGAAAATAGTGTTATGTTATATAAACTTAAAAAATTAAGAGTAAAAAGAAATATTAATGATTTCCCTTCATCTTTTAATCCAATTAATCTTCCTAAATTTAAAACTAATTTTAAAGTATCAAATTCAATTCAAAAAATTGTTAATGCTATTCAAAAAGGAAATGTACATGAAATTTTTAGTGTAATTCATACTTTTATTCAATCAAATAATTATATTACTATGTCATATGAAGAATTAAATCTTCTTGAAAATGATCCAATAAAAATTGATAAATCTATTCGAAAAATTGAAACAATAACTTTATTAAATCGTATTATTTGTTGGATATTAATGATTTCTCATAATTTTACAACACCAGATGATATTCCTTTAATTTCTTTAGAGATTGAATCTTTTATGGATTCTACTGAAAACATTATTCATTCTAAATAATGTCTTAATGTTTTATTTTCATTTTTATTCTTTTTCTTATAAAAATATATTTTACTTTTTCTTATTTATTCTTTATTCTATTAATTAAAATATTAAAATTTTATGAATTTTTAATGAAATAAAGAGTTATGTTTATGTATTTTATTTAAATAATTTTAAAATATAATCTTAGAGAAATATATTCTTAATTAAAGTAAATATGAACGAAACTAATTCATTAAAAACTAAAAAAGTTAAAAAAAAACTTATTCAAAATAATTATAATTTAGGGATAAAAAAGGGTAAGATAATAATGATTTTGAAATTATCTAATTTAAGATAAAAAGACCTATAAAAGAGAATAGAATTATGTAAATCAGATCTGTATTGCAATGACTGAAACACCAAAGAAAGATGATGAAGTTCTCATTCAAGAAATCAATGTCAATTCAACCTCTCCTTCACCAGAAGGTATTCATGAAATCAATGATCTCTTTGAAGGACTTGAGAATGCTGATGCAGAAGAATTATCCCCTGAACATACTAACAACGAAGAAATTCCTACTGATCTTCATGAAAAACAACAACCAGTTGACAATTTAGATATAGAATGTAATGATGATAAAAGTGATAAATCATCAGATAGTTCTTCTGAAGAAAAAAAACCCAAAATGAAAATTGATAAAAAGGATAAAAAAGACAAAAAAGATAAAAAAGACAAAAAAGATAAAAAAGACAAAAAAGATAAAAAAGACAAAAAAGATAAGAAAGATAAGAAAAATAAAAAGGATAAAAAAAATAAAAAAGATAAGAAAGAAAAAAAAGAGAAGAAAAATAAAAAAGACAAAGAAGAAAAGAAACCAAGAAAGATTAATAAAAAAATCAATAAAGAAGAAATTATTAAGATGGTTAAAAGTGGAGAATATAAACTTGTTCCTATAGAACAATATGATAAATTAGTACGTAGTACTAAGAAATTACACAAAGCAATAATGAATATTATCTCTTTGGAAAAATGATAATTAAAAAAAAATAATGTTTATCAAGTTAAAATTAATTTAATTTGTTAATTATTTCTTTTTTTTTCAATGAACATTTCTAATATTTATTGAATAAATGATTTAAATGCTTGAGCATATGCTTCAGGTAAACAACTTGCCTTACCATTTGATAATTGACCATTTCTATTAATTGTAGCAATGTACATTCTTTGAACTCCTTCAAAAAATTCAATTGAGGAATAAATATATGTTATTCCATCAATAATACAACTACCATTATTTCCATGGAATCCTTTTGTCATTTCTCTTGCTTTAATTAATAAAGGATCTTCATTAACTTTATTGTGTTGAAGACGAATCATTTATATAACTTTATTATAGTTCTCATCATTTATATTTTTATTCTTCAATATTTACGTTATAAATAACAAATACTAATTAATTTTATTTTAAAAAGAAACAAAAAGAAACAATAATTTTATAATTTATTTATTCATGAACCAAATACAACCCAATAAACCTAAAATGAGAATTGTATTTGTTGGAACATTTGGTGTTGGAAAAACATCCTTAATACAACAATATTGTAATGAAGAATTTCAAGAAAATCCTGTTGCAATTGAAAAAATAAATAAAGAAGATAAAAGAAAAAAAAATGTATTTGATATTGAAATGGTTGATTCAATGGGAGTTGAAAAAGATGATCCAAATAATTATTTTTATTTTCAAAAATGTCATGGATGTGCTTTAGTTTTTGATAGAACATCACAAGAATCCTTTGATGCACTTCAACAACTTTATTTAAATATCAAAAAATATGGTTCACATGATATGAGTCTTATTCTTATTGGAAATAAATCTGATGATTCTATTGTTGTTCAAAATGAAATTGCACAACAATTTGCTACAGAACATTCTATGAGATATTTTGCATTAACTGCTAAACAACATAGTCAAGTTGTTGAATCAGTAGAATACCTTGTAGATTTAATTTATAAAAACTATTATAAAGAAAATAATTCTTGTTATATTGTTTAACTAATTGTTCATGAAATTACAAATTAAATTAATCTAATTACAAACAATTATTTATTTGTTAATTTTTCTTTTTTCTCTCTCTTCAATTACTTTTTATGAGTTGTATTAAATAAATTTAATTGTTCATATACTTTAATAGGTAAAATTGGTTGTCTTGATTCTTTTTTTGCTGTTTCTCCTTTATCTAATACATCTAAAACAGAATTTATTCCTATCTTTGCTAATTTTAATGCAATAATATTAGGATTTATCAAATGATTATTTTGTGAATAATCATTAAACTCAAATTCTTTAATTTCTTTTAAAATTAATGAAGATAATTTTTGATCATTAATAGAATTTTGTGGAGTTGTCATATAAGAAATTTTAAAATAAATAAAATTAAGTTCAGTTTTAATAAAATAAAAGAAGAATGAAACTATACCATAATCAATCAATATTTATTAAAATTAAATAGTTTGATATGATAATACTTCAATACCATATTCTCTAATTCTTTTCTTCATTTCAATTCCTATTGTTTTTGCTCCTTCTTCTACTATAGATAATAAATCTCCTAATCTTTGTAATGGCATTTTTCCTTCTGTTTGAAGTAATGCTACAGCACCACTTTTTTGCATAATAGCTGTATGAACATTAAATACTGTTCCAACATTCTCTTCATCTTTATTCATATCAACTACCATTTTTCCATCAATATATCCTCCTTCTGCTGCTGATACAATATCAATCATTGGTATTCCAGCATCAATTAATGCTAATGTACATGCATTAATTACAGCTGCTGTAACACTACCATCATCTTGCATAATTTGTACTCTTAAATCAATCATAGTTTCTGGAAGAAGTTTTGTAATTATAACTTGTTCATACATTTGTTTTAATAATTCTGCTGTTTCAATCATTGTTCTATCATGCATTTGTTCTCTTCTTTTTCTTGTTGCAAATGTAGCTTGTGAATATGATACCATAAGTTCAGCTCCTTCTCTATTTCTTCTTCTTCCTTCTAATGGACCAAATACAACTGCTTCAACAATAGTATTTCCCATTCTTACTCTTGCAGATCCATCACTTGTGTTTAAAAAATTAATTTCCATTTCACATTTTCTCATTTCTGTTGTTCTTCTTCCATCAAGACGATATCCTTCTGGAGAAATATATTCCATTAATTATTTTAAATAATTTTTTTTTTCAGTTTTTTTTTTAAATTAAATAATTTATTTTTTAATTTATTTTTTAATAAAATATGTTTTATATCCAAAATCTACAAATATAATAAAAATTCATTTTATTTTTTGTGTCAATTCAAATTAACAACATCCTCCTTCATTTTTATTTGATGATGAAGTATTAATACTAACGTTTGAGTTATTTGAAATTGATAGAGTAGACTTTTTTATAGATGAAGCAGCAGTTTGGAATGCTTTTGTAATATTTTCACCACTATAAGAAGAACATAAAATAAGTGGATACCCAACACGTTTACTATAGTTTTGAGCATCTTCATCACTAACTTCTTTTTTTAAATCACATTTTGCACCAACAAGAACAATAGCAATATCATCTCCTCCACTTTTACGTGTTAAATCAATCCAATAATCTAAACTTTCAAATGTTTCACGACGAGTTACATCATAAACAATAATAGCACAATCTGCTCCTCTAAAATAAACAGGCATAACACTTCTAAATCTTTCATCTCCACTTGTATCCCATAAGTTCATTTCAACTTTATTTCCATTCTCAAGTTCACTATATAATTATTATTTTTATTCAATTTCTTTTTTCTTGTTTATAAGAATTTATTAAATAAAAACTAACAAACATTACTTGTTTTAAAAATGATGCTCCAATAGTTGGATTATGTTGAGTATCAAAGAAATTTTGTGAAAGTCTAATTAACATACAAGTTTTACCTGTAGAAAAATCACCAACCATAACTATTTTGTGTTTGTTTTCAGTCATAATAAAATAAAGATAATTAGTTCAATTTGTTAAGTTTTTGGAAACAAAAAAAACTTATAAAGACAGATTCTAATTATTTATATTGACCTAAATATTCGGGAAATTTAAATGACTTTTAAATTTAAATAATTTTTATATCAAAACCAATAAAAAAACTAATCATTTTGATTTTTTAATTTCATTTCTTTCTTTCTTTCTTTCTTTTTTTTTTTAAACTAAAATGAAGTTTTACTAACATAACAATTTATTTATTCATTCTTCAATCTTATATATTTTCCATGTTTTATCAAAACTACATGAAATAAATCCTTCATCATCTTCTAACCAATCTACATCTACAACTGGTTTTGAATGTTCTTCATATTTCCATATTAATTTCCAATTCCAATTTTTTAATGACCAAAGTTTAATAGAATGATCAAAACTACTTGTTAGTAAGAAATCTCCTTGATGATTTAATTTTACTGATGTAACAATAGTATTATGTGCTGGAATAGTATATCCACATCTTTCCATTCGAATATCCCATAATTTTACAGTATTATCATCAGATGCTGTAATTAATACTCCTCCATTACAATGCCAATCTAAACTAGTTATTGTTGATGAATGACCTTTATACTTTCCTATTTGTTTACCATTTCGAATATCAAATAAATGAACAATACAATCATTTCCTCCTGATGCAAATATTCCACCATCTCTTTGCCATCCAATACATCTTACTGATCCACTATGTCCAGTTTGTTTTAATACACACCCTCCATTCTCTAAATCCCATAATTTTATCATTGAATCATGAGATCCTGTTAATAAAAATCTTCCTGATTGATGAAACTCTACTGCATTCACTCTATCTGTATGACTTTGAATACCAAGTGGTTTTTCTTCATTCTTTGCAAATAATTTAACATATCCTTGTGATGTTCCTACAACAAAATCAATTGGTGCTTCCTCAATAGGTGAAAAATTTAATGAATAAATTTGTCCTTCAACATTTGTTTCTCTTGTTTTTGAACAATCACTTAAATCCCATACTCTTACTTTCCCATCTGCACCCCCTGTAATAACATTTTTTCTTCCTACTTTACATCGTAAAACTCTATATTCATCTCCAATCATTGAACCAACATTATGTATTAATTCATATTTATGTTTAACATAATGAACTTCTTCTTGAATTCTTGATTTAGCCCTAAGTAAACTATCAACTAATAACCATCTTCTTATTCCAATTAATTCTTCTCCACCATCAGTGTAATGTAATTTAGTTATTAATTGATCTATTTTTTCTTCTGTAAGTGCACATTGTGGAAATCCTTGATCAGAACCAACTTTAGCTAATGCATCTCTTAATCTCTCTCTTCGACTCTCAAATTCTTCTCCAAATAACATAATTGGTTCTCCAAGTTCTCTCAATCTTAACATAACCATTTTATCTTCTGTAGGAAGTGGAATTTTTCTATATTTCCATTTTTCTTCTAATTTCTTAATATTTTCTACATATTGTTGAGTTGTAGGAATGTTTTTCATATATTATACTTTTTTAGTCTTTTTTGATAAGATATAAAATGTTAATATAATATATATAACTTATTTATTATTAAAATATTGTTTTCAAATTCTTCAATTAAAACATAACAGCTCGAACTTCCTCTTCTAATTCACCCCATAATGTAGAATTATTCCATGATTGAACCGCTTTAATTTCTTTATTCCAATGATATTCTTTATTTAAGAAAGAATACATTTGAATAGCATCTGGTCTATTATCACCTTCATAACAAGTACAATGAACAATATGACATTTAACATTATTTTTTGATAATCTTGAATATAATTCTTTAGTTATTGGTGATTTTTCAATAACTTTATCATTATTACTAAACAAAATATCTCCTAACTCTCCTTTTGAAGAAGAATATAAAAACACAACTTCAGTTGGTTGTAATGATTTAATAAATTCAGCAAAATCTTTACAAAATTTAAGGTATTTGGATGCAATAAATGTTGATCTTAATTGAATAACATTCATTTCTTCATTCCCATAAATTGTAGCAGCAAATGTTGGTGATTTAATGTGATCATAAATTGGTGGTGCAACATATGGAACAAGAAATTCATGTTGTAAAATGACTTGTTGTTTAAGTTTTAATGAATTAATAATCAAATCAACACATAATTGTCCTACATTTCCTACTGACCAACAAGGCTATTAAATTAATTTAATACCATTTTTAATTTATTCAATAATACAAACAAACAATAAAAAGTATTTTATTGAAGTTATTGAATAATGAATTAGTTTTCATTGTTTGTATTTTTAAGTTCAAAAACTTCAAACAAAAAAGAAAGAACCAAGATAATATTGATCAATTTAATTCTTTAATAATAGTATGTCCTCCTTTATGAGAAAAGAACTGGAAGTCAATAGTTGTTGGTATGTTAAGTGTTTTTCTCACAAATAAGATAACTTGTCTTAAATCATCTTCTTTATCTGTCTTCAACCAAATAATTAACTTAGCAAAACTTCTTAATGAGAATGAAACTCCATCTACTTTATCTCTTAACGCAATAGTTTCTCCAATACAAGATAACATCTATCATTTAATTCTTATTCCTTTATTTTAACTATCATTCAACTAATAATTAAACTTAAAACAAACAAGTTTTAGCCATGCATCTTCTGCAAATTCTGCTTTACTTGGAGTATTAATTTCTAAATTAAACTGTAATTTTCCACCATTTTCTGTTGTTTTTGGTTCAATATCTTTTCTAAAGAAAAATGAATCAATTCCTTTCGGCAATGTTGTTTGTTTTTCAATACTGTCATATAACCCCCAAAACTCTTCTACTGAATGAACATTATAAATAGGTGTTGCAGTAACTCCAGAAGTAGAAAATACTTGGTTCATCCCTAAGTCAAACCAATACGTCCAACCAGTTGTCAACATATGAAGTGGAACAATCTCCTTTGTTGTAGTCATTTTAAATTATGAAAATATCAAAATAAATAATCAGTTGAGTTCTTTTTTTTTTAATAGAGTTTTTAGTTTTATTGTTTTTTAATAACATAAACTTCTCATATTTTTACTCAATTCAAAATATCCCTTTCTTTTCAATAACTATCACAAGATTCTCATTATCCATTAATTCATTTTTAATGCATCCATGTGCAATTCAAATTACACCCACAACCCTCTTTTCATAGATAATTTAATGAAAATACAGATTTCTAATGTGGCTCTGTTCTATTCTTTTGAAAATAAACCTCTCTTTTCTTTTAAAGTAACTTAGATCCTTCACGCTCTTTTGTTTTTCCTTTCTTTCTCTTATCCTGTTTATTAACAAAATAACACATCAAACACAGTCTCCGGATAGAAATAAAATGGTTGTTAAAGAAATTAAATCATTTCATTATCAGAGAAGTAAAAATAAAAAAAGCAAAGAATAAAGGAGATAAGAAAAAAAAAGAAAGAAGAATAACAAAAGAAAAAAGAATTAATCAAAGATGAATTTTTTAGAGAGAAGAAGAAGGTCACAGTCGATGTAAGAGACTTTAGAGTTTAAGAGGATGTTTTGGATAAAAGGGTGATATAAGATTGATTTGTGGATTATAAAGAATAAGTTATTTCGAGCGCGAGTAAGAGCGACGTTGAGACGTTTTGGGGATTCTAAAAAGGAAGAGTGTTTATTTCTGACGAAAGAGAGGAGAATGATATCTTTTTCAGCGCCTTGGAAAGCGTCAATAGTAGCTACAGTGATTTGTGGAAGAGAAATAGAAGATGCGAGATAAGCACATTGTTGTTTATAAAAAGAAATGACACCGATACGATCAGATGGAATAAGAAGATGAGATAAAATAGAAATGATTTGATTTACAACACGAATTTCGAAAAGAGAATAATAACTAGAAGCAAGAGAAAACTCATCATTAGTGTCATGATAACAAATTATGATTTCATTAGCATCAGGAATAAGAGAAAGTTGATTATAAACATTAGGAGCATTTTGTAAAAGACCATTATAATAAAGTCTATTTACAATATTACTAATAGGAGGACAACACCTATATTGAAGATTTAATAAAATTGGAGAATTTAAAGAATAAAGTCTTTGAAAAAGAGAAGCAGAAAGATGAACTGATTGAAGAACAGGATCAAGTTGCATAGGATCACCAACACAAACAATACATTTTGGATTAAATCTAAGAATAGGAATAAGAGACATAGGTTCAATAGTTTGAGTAGCTTCATCAAAAAGAATAATATCATAAGAATGATTAAGAAGAGGATTTGTAGAAGAAGCACAAGTGACACCAACAATAGAAGCTAATTTAATTTCACGAGACCTTTTTTCAAAATTACCAGTTTTTCTTTCATTAATTTCATTTTCAATAATTATTTTTTCAATATTTGATAATAATTTTTCTTTTTTTAATTCTTTAAGATCATTTAATCCATCATCATTTTCAGAAATAGTATAAGGTAAAATTTGTTTACTAATTTTTTTTAATGAACCAACACGAAAAAATGATTTATAGTTTTTTGTTAATAAACTTTCAAGAACTCTATCAACTGCAACATTTGTTGATGCACAAATTAATACTTTATAATTTAATGATGCTAATAAAATACATAATACTGAAAGAAGATGTGATTTTCCTGAACCAAAAACTCCATGAACAAGAGTTATTGGTGGTTTATTTTCTTGAAGAGATTGAATAACTTCTTTAATAACTTTAATTTGTTGATTATTTAATTTATATTCATTAATTATTTTAATATCTGGTATTATTTGTTTCTTTAATGGTGTAAATTTATGAAAAATTAAATATTCTATAAGATTAGAAAATAAATATTTAGGTGTAATTGATAATTGAACTAATGTTTGAAGCATTAATACTTCTGTTGATCCTGAAAATCCATGTAATCCAATACAATTTATTTTTTGAAATTTTAATGGTTTTGATGTAATAAATTCAATTCTAATAATTCCATCTTTAGTTGGTCCATGATATAATGTTGTTATAATATAAATTTTTGAATTAAATGAATATGGATATTCTTGAGGTAATAATATCCATAAATCATCTTTTTTTAATTCTCTAATTTAATTATTTCTTTTGATTTTTTTATATTAATTCTTTATATATATTATATATATTATATATTATATATATTAATTAACAAACTTAACTTTCCTTAAATCATTAATTTTCATAAAATACATTGTTTTTAAAGCTTCTGGATCTTCTGGTGTTGGTGTTAATTTTTTACTTTGAAAAATTTCAATATCAAGAAAAATAATAATTCCTTCTTCTTCAAATTTTTTTATTTTTAATTCTTTCATATTAATTTTATGATTAAATGTTTCTGATAATTTATATTTTACTTCTTTTTCTTTTATTTCTTTTTTATCTTTTTCAATTCCTTTACTTTGTTGTTCTGAATAATAATATCCTTTTCTTTTATTTATTCCTTCTTTATGACTAATTTGTTTTATTGGATTTTCTTGTGAATAAATATTTATTCTTTCTTTATTTCTCATTTCATTAATTTGTGTATCAACTATTGTATAAAATGTTTTTCCTATTTCTGCTAATTTATAATTTATTTCATTAACTACAATATTATTCATATCAGTAACATATTTTCCAATATCATTATATATTCCTTGACTTGTTTCTTTATTTCTTTTAATTTTTTCTATTTTTTCTTCACTATCATTAAGACTTGTAGGAAATTCAATTTTTTCCATAATTTTTGGTACTTTAAATCCTTTACTTCCTATTTCTTTTTTAATACAATCTCTTTCTTTATTTATTTTCTTATCTTGTTTTTGTTTTTGTTTTATTTCTTCTCTTTTATTTATTTCTTTGTTTTCAAATATTTTTATTAAGTCTTTAATACTATTCTTTTCTTTTTCTTTCTTTATTATTGTTTTTCTTTGTGTTATTGTAGGTGTTATTGTAGGTATTATTGTAGGTGTTATTGTTAATAATGGTTTTATATTAGAATTTCTTTTCTTCATTCCACTACAAATTCTTGAAGAAATAGGTAATATTTTAAGTGTGTCAATACTTTTAATTTGAGGATTAAGTTCTTCTGATTGAATAGAGTCGAAGTCAATAAGATATTTATCAATTTCAATTATATCACCAACATTTGGTAAATTTTTAATAGTATCAGTTAATATTAATTGCTAAGAATATTAAATAAATAAAGGATAAAGAATAATATAATAATAATTTAATTAACAAACTTTTTTACCATTAATTTCTTCATATAATTCAAATTTTTTATTATCTTTATAATATATTGCTATTCCATCTTTCCATTTCTTTACTTTTTGAATTTTTTGTGTAGTAAAAAGGACAATAAAATGAGATGACATTATTTGATGATTTTAAGTTTTTTTAATCTATTGAGATAGAAAAATATTTAAGAAAAGAAACATAATATCTCCGAAAAATTGAATTAATTTTATTAGTAGAATTAAATATTTCTCTCTTTACTTATTTATTAATATACATTTTCATTCTTCTTCTAATTCATTTTCTTCATTATTTAAATCACCATTATTAAATAATTTATGTTCAAAATTTATAAGTTGTTTCTCAAATCCTGAATTAGGTGATATAATTGGTCTTTTCTTTTTAATAAATATAACTGCTTCTTTATAACTCCACATTTTTTTATACATTAAATATGCTATTAAAATTGTACTAGATCGTGATATTCCTGCATGACAATGAATTAAAATAGATCCTCCTCCTTTAATTATTGAATCCATAAATTCAAAACATTTTGTAAAATATTGATCAATTGCTTCACTTGCTAAATCTCCAATATCAATATATTCTACTTGAATTTTTTTACTTACAATAATGGCTTTAACTCCTAATGATAATATTCCTGTAATATTTCTTTCTATTAAAATATCTCGATTTCTTGTAGAATCTAATGACCCTAAATAAATATGTTCATCAATTTTATTAGGTATTAATTGAAAAAATGGTGATGGAAATAGAAGACAAATTGTTGTTTCTGTAAAAATAGGTGATTCAATATAATTTGTATTAATATAAAATTCTTTTAATGATTTTAATGGTTTTAAACTATTATAATCAAATGTATGTATTTCATTATTTGTTATTTTAAGTATTTCTATTTTAATTAATCTTTTTCTTTTCTTTCTTTTAAATAAAAACAAACCAAGAGATGTTAATTGTGAAATTCTTCCAATTTCAAATTCTTTAATATTATTATTAGAAAGATCAAGAAATGTAAGTAATGGTAATTTACTTATTATATCCATTCCATCACTTATTTTATTTTGAGATAAATTTAATGATTTAAGTTGTTGAATAGTTGTTAGATTTTTAGGAATACTTTCAATTTTATTATTACTGATATCAATACCTATTCTTTTATTAATTTCAATTTTTTATTATTATTATTATATCATTTATTTATTTATTTATTATTCTTAAAAAAATTTAACAAACTCTGAAGATTACTAAATAGGTTAAATGTACAAATATCAGTTAATCCATTATCTTGATATATTAATGACTTTACGTCACTACCAAGAAATTTTTCTGTTTTTATGTATTTAATTAATTGTTTGAGCATATTTGTATTAGTAATTTTCTTTTTTGTGAAATCTATTCCAATGTCCCTTCTTCTATGCATTAAGGTCAATTAAAATCAAGATTTATTTGTTTATCTTTCTACTCATCAAATTATTTATAGATTATACCAAAAAAATTTAAAAAAAAAATTCACTTTAAAAAATTTAAAAATTTATAAAAAGGTCATTTAATAATTTATCCACTTTTTAATTTTATGATTATTGTAAATTGTTTATTTTTCTATTTTTAATATATTCTACTTTTTATATTTTATTTTCATTTGAAAAATTTTTTTATTTTCTTTTAATGTGTTGTCAATGTTAAATATATAGATTATTAAATATTTCATATTTTTTATTATTATTTGTTTATAGTGTATTGTTAATGTTATTTCATAATTACTCTGTTTTCCATTATTTTATTGTTATATTTTTTTATATTTATTTCATTATTTTTATCTTAATTAACATCTTTTTTATATTATTTTTATGATGTTTTTCTTAATATATATTCTAATATTAAAAGAATAATCATTAATTAATAATTATTTAATCTAAATTATAACTATTTCATCATTATTAATATATTTATAATTGAATTAAATTTATTTGATTCATTTCCATTAAAATTTTTATTTAATATATATTTATTTATACTTATATCTTGTTTTATTATTTAATTTTCTTTATTATATCATAATATTATATGATTAATAGTTACAATTGTATTGTGATATTTATGATATTTTAATATATTAATATAAAATATTTTAAATTTAATACTTCTTTTCTTAATTATTTATTATTTGAATGAATATATTTATTTTTATAATGATTTCGCTATGATTATTGATAATTTCTTATATTATTATTTATATAATTGATATTTATTATTATTCATCATATTTCTTTATATTTCTTTTATTATTATTTCATTATTTTGTTTATATCATATTTAATTCTATTATATTCATTAAATTTATTCTCTTTATTCTTTTAATTATTCATTTTAATTATTTCTTTTATTTCTTTTTATTCATGTATTTGATATTTATATTTTAAATATATTCTTATTATTTCTTTAATTTATTCATCTCATATTGATATTATTTCATTTCTTATTTCATTTATTGTAAAATATAATCTATTTTTATTATTTCTAATATGTAACTTGTATTAGATTATTGATTTTATTATTTATTTATCTATTTTTTCAATTTCAATTAATTTGTATTTGATATTATTGATTTCTTATTTAATTTAAATATTATATCATTATTATTATTTCTTTTGTATTATTATTGTTATATTTATTAATATTTAATGGTGATAAAATAGAATATATATCATTTATTTCTTGTTCATGTTTTATTAATATTTATTTTATTTCTTATTTCAATTCAAATATATTTATAATAATTATCATTATTTACTCTTGTTAATTCATTTATTTTTCTATTTATTTAAATATTGATATTAGTATTTATCTTATTCTTTTCTATATTGTTTTTATTCATATTTCATTAAATATTTATTTTATTAATTTATGTGGTTTTTCTATTTCATTATATTATTAATTATCTTCATTTCATCATTATAATTTATTTAATTCTACTTATTTTTATTCTCATTTCATTTTAATAATTAATTTATTAATCTCTTTATCTATTTGTTTAAATATTCAATAATTAATACAAATATTTATAATAAACTATTATATTATTCATCTTTCTTTATTAATTATATATTCATTTTGTTGATTATATTATAATTTGATTTGTATATTATTTAATATATAATATTATTAATTAATAAAAGTGTTCAAATAAATTAAATAATATTTAATAATTTGATATTTAATACTATTATAATATTTAGAATTATAATAATTTATTTATATCTATTTCTATTTATCATTAATTATAATTAAATGATGTTGTTGTATAATAATTATTATTTTGTTAAGTATATTTCTTATATTAAATTTTATGATATTTGTTTTTCAATTACATTTTAATATCAATTGAATTTATATTTTCATATTTAATAATTAATATATATAATTTTAACATATTAATGTTGTAATTTTATTTGTATAATTTATCTATTTTCTTATATATTAATATTATTTAATGAATAAATTGAAGATAAATTTCATTATGATTATACATTATTTCATTAAATAATTTTATTAAGAAATATTTATTTTAAATATTTAATAACCATTATATTTTATTAATTTGTTGTGTTTTCGTTTTATTATTTATTTTGATATTTTAATTCTTTATGAATTTTATATCATTTCTATTATTATTTCTATAATTTATTATTCATATAATTTATTATTTATGAATTCTATAATAATATTAGTTTCATATATTCATTTCAATTAATTATAATATTTAATATTATCATAATATGCATTTTTATGTTTATTTAGATATTATTTATTTCTTTATTTTATTCTTATTCTTTACAATTTATTCTTAATTTTATTTCTATTATTTTCATTATTTAATATATTTGTAATAGTTTATTTGTTTTATTTTAATATGATATATTATATTTTTAATATGTAATATTTTTTAATTTAATAATTGATTATTATTGAATAAATCTCTTAATTTATATATTTTAATTGTAATATTTTTCTATTCTTCCAATTCTTTCTTTCTTGATTGATTATACTAGTATTAATCATCTAATATATTGTTTATTATTTTATTTTTATTATTGATATTAATTATTTGATGTATTTTTTCTTATTATAATATTAATTAATATATTTTATTTATTCTTATTCTTTCATTTCTTTTTTATTTATTTTTATTATTTCTTTTATTTCTTGTATTTAATTATCTTTACATTCTTGTGTTATTATTTCTTCTTTTATTCTTTTTATTTTTCTTTATTTTATTTATTATTTTTTATATT